TGCGACTGTCAAAACTGCCGGGAGGCGGAGAGACTCGGACCGGCGGGTGCCAGCCTCCGGAGAAAAGGTCTTCACAGCTGTCACATCCCCGGCTGTGGGAAGGTTTACGGGAAAACGTCGCACCTAAAGGCGCATTTGAGGTGGCACACCGGCGAGAGGCCGTTTGTGTGCAACTGGCTTTTTTGCGGGAAGAGGTTCACACGCTCCGACGAGCTCCAGCGACATTTACGCACACATACCGGGGAGAAAAGATTCGCCTGCCCGGTTTGCAACAAGAGATTTATGCGTAGCGATCACCTGAGTAAACATGTAAAAACTCACAGCGCCGGGGGATCCGCCGGCTCCGGCTCCGGGGGCAGCGGAGGAAAGAGGGGGAGTGATACCGACAGCGAGCACAGCGCGCCGGGAAGCCCTCCGTGCCATTCCCCCGACCTGTTGCACCCACCTGAGTCAACCCAGGGCGTAGGCATGAACGGCCTCTAAATCTCCCCTCAGTGAAACACAAACTGTAGAACAACAGAGTGTTGCGGTGGAATTGTCCAAGAGGACATGACAGTGGACATACCGTGGTGTATGCAAAACGCCTCATCAAGGTCACAGAATGAGAAAATAGGCCCGTACGTTCCGTTGACTTTTTCTAAGACTACTAATTCCATAATTCCATAGCTGTACCATCAGACACATCTCATTAATACATCTGCGGTGTGAACGTGTAATCAAGTTCTTGTGGGCACACCGGGACAGGGCGCAACAAAAACCTATTCCAGCCCGATCCTGAATACCCTCCATGTTTTATTTCCCAGGGTATGAGACGCAACACACAGAGACCACCGCTGTGAAAGATGTGGGCCTGCTAAGTTGTGCTATCGCTGTCATACAATATTGTTCAAACCAAACTCTGGCACTTTATTACCGAGCAGGAGAAATAGTTTTTGTCCCCCGAGGATGGGCTGCTTGGTAGGAACAAAAACCTGTGGTAAGATACGGGGTGGGATGGTTTTCATTATATCCGAGCTCCTCAAACGTCGCAAGTTTATAACACACACTGCTATTGAACCCGCAGCCTGCGGTATGTGCGCCAAGTTTGTAAGTAGTCCAGTCGAGGTCACTCACACTTCACTTCGCTGCAAAATGTGTTGTATATACTGAGAAATGTAGGTTAGAATAATTACAGACCAATGTAAAGGTGAGTAATGTATTTGTCCAGGAGACGATTTTGTATAGGTATTTCTAGTTGTATATGGACTCTAGTAAATATTTGAAAATATACGGAAATGTACTTGGATTTTTCTTTGACATGATATGAAATGTATTGTGGGGAGTTCTATTTAACCACGACTTTTCTTGTATTAGGGGTCTATCTTTAGGCGCACTTTGAATTTATTTGTAACGATTTGAAATCATTTACTGTTTGCCCACTCATTTAATTTAAGTAAGCATGTTGTAAAGTGATTTTGATTTTACAATGATTTTTTTTCCGAGAATGGCTTTTTATGTAAGCCACTCAATAAAGTCAGTATGAATTCAGAAGCAGCTCATCGACTCAGTTTTATTGATTGTTGAGTCGATCAAATCCATTTTTGCACCGACAAAACCAGAAAGTTTGAGATTTTACGCAGCCTAGGATTTGTTCTGCTGCACATTTTCTTTAATTAATGTCAAAAAATGTAGATAGTGAGTTTAATTATCTCTGCGCAGCTGGTACATGATGGGAAAGGGCCTGCGGCAACATCAGGGCCTCACCCACAAATTAACTTCAATTTCAGTAATAAAATTAAGCAGCTAAACGGAACATTTACCTTTAAAAAAGAAAAGTAAAATTAAGTTCTCTTGGAATTTAAATTTAGGCTAAAGTTCACTAACCTCGCTTCATGTCTGTTTTTCTGTTGAGCGTAAAAATGAAACCTCAAACTTCTCTGAGGCCGAAGTCAACACTGGTCAAACTTCAGGCCTAATTGTGTTAAACCACCGCTTTCTAAATCCTTATTAATGATTAATTACTGTGCGTTAAATATCTTTGACTGTTTCCCCACTGCAGGTTTTATTTTTGTTCTCTTTGCAATCAAACTTCCTCCCAGTCAAGAGATATTATTATAAACACACACACGGTTTGTTCATTTTAAACTTTAAGCTGCTGATAAATGCGCAGTAGATTTAGTGTTAACATTTACATGATTGTATTATTGAATGTGGTCTCTAAATATTTTAATAGTGGAATAAGGACAATTTATACTTTTGTTGTGAGCAGTCTTGTTCCCCTTTAGGCCGTGCTTATTTTGACTTGATGTCAAGTTGGACTAAATCCCCTGCTTATTACTAAAATTCAAAATAATCAACATCAGAGTTAACAAACTAGACACATTTCTATATTTATTTAATGACAATTGATTTGAAGACTGAATCTTTGGTAATACGTGAACTGGAGAAAGCTCACATGCCCTTTATCTATTTACACAAGCATTTTGGATCTTGTATGTCCCGTTACATACAACAGATTACAGAGATAATCCCAATCCCTTCTTTTTTTAAATTTTCTCCTCGTTTCTGGGGATTTTACGCACCAGATGGATGAACGCGGTCACAGCGTGTCATTCATCATTTTAACAGTTAGAAGGGAAAGATGAGCACAGTTAAGACTATTCCTTTTATTTATTCCGCTATTTTTTCATATCTAGAATGTTCAGGTTTCGTGAAATCACAGTGAGGAGTAAACTAGGCCAAGTATCTTTTCGAACTTCTGGTTTTTATGCGTGGTTTCGTAGCGCCATCTAGCGCCTTCCCGTGCAAACAACAGTCATTGAAGTACAACCTTGATCCACTTTTTCTGAGCTCTTTTTTTGTATGGGGGTCCTGATTTTATTTTGGGTCATAGAGAAAGGTTATTCTGAATTAATCTGGAAAGCTTTCCTTCAGTATTGCTGCACCACTTTCAGCTGTTTGTGCAGTAAACTTCCAGACTAAAGTCTGAGGCTGCACAGATGAACATATATTCATAACTGTTTCCACTGTATGAGACGTGCGCTGATTATTAGGACAACATAACAAGAAGTCACCATTTCCATCTGCTCTTTTTAGATCACACCTGAATTTCAGAAAGTGCGGGTCTGGACTCATTAGAACTCCTCTGCTGTCTCCCTGATAATGCTTTCAAACATATTTGAAATAATAAGCAAATTAGAAATGAAAGTACTTACAAGTGTATCACTCACCCTCCTGCTCTTTGTTACAGCAGATGTGTCATAGTGGGACATTAGAACGATGGATATTCTCTGCGTCTGTCACCTGCACCGTTCCCAAGTTGTTTTGTTCAAATAGTTATAAAATGTCAATATAGTGAACATTTACTTTATTTCTCTCTTCCTTTCTGAATTGACCTTTTTACACACACATATGTAAATGTAGAAACATACAGGTAAAATGACGTTCAGGTACCTTCATAGCTTCTTCTCCTATGTTCATAATTCCTCTGCGATGGTGTGGTCCAGTAGAAAAATGCTGTAGGGACAGTTAACAGTCAAAGGTAAAAGTAAAACCAAGCCAAGTGCAGAGGGAACTAAAGAAATTCTGCCTTTGCTGGGTCACTGCAGCTCTCTCGCATTTAGGATTGGGTTCCTGATAAAGCCTGCAGTGCAGCTGTGTCCGAATCCTACAGAAAAATCCAGTTGAATTACTTCAGTTTTATTATTCAGAAACATTAATTACTATGATTTCAAGCCAGAGACTGTTTAAGGGATTTGCTGTTGGGTAGTCTTGTGTACTTACAGGCTTACGCAACAAGATATTTTATGTTGCTGCATTTGTTTCGATAATGTCAGGAAATCTCACAAAAAAGTGCTTGGTTATGGCTCCATGTTATCTCTTCAGCATAAAGTCTGACAGATTTATTTATTCCCTACTGAGTTATTCAAGGAAAACTGTTTCAGAAAAATTCATGGAGAGAATGAAGCAGGAACTGAACTGAAGAAGACAAAATGTAAACTGTATTTCATAAGCAGACACTAACCTGGATTTAAGACATTAGATTAGCTGGACAATGTATTCCTCAACCTATATTATTAAAAACTGCTGTGTGTAAAGAGATATTTTATGTTTTACACAAACAGGCCTTGAACAAAAGCTGTCTTGATGTTATCAACTGTTTCAACAGATTCAAAAATAAATACAGGAAAATATTTTAAACTGAACAGTATCCTTTTGGCCTAATGTCTCAGCGTGTGCGACTCTGTTGTCATGTTATTATCACCTTCCTAGAGTGCTGTATCACCTGTACCTCAGAGGAATGTCCCATTGCTGCCAGCGAGGAGCCACATGAGCTGCTGGCTGTGGATGAAAGCCAAAGTAACAGCTATGGTCGGAGCACACAGCGCACCGGCAGCCAAGCCCGGTGCTGATCCAGTCGCCTAGAAAACACAAAGAGACATATTATTCTACACTGGGTTATAGAAACTTGGGTGTACTGTATCGTAATCTGCTTAATAAAATGTAAGACAAATCTTGACTGAGGTTTCATGGAAGTGTCAGCTGCTATAAATGAAGCGATATATTGGGTTTTCTAGCTCTAACAGTAAATCATAGTGTTGTGGTAACACCTCTCACCAGCGATGCATCTGTGGCCAATTTTGTGGTTAAATCCACCAACTGCACTGTTATTGTCACTAAACCAGCCAGTCTCCTGGGGAAAGCAATTTGAAAAGGGCCAGAGGTTCGTCAAAATAATTAACAGTAATTGCCGGAGCACCGACACCAGTACCCCCATACAATGCTTTCAGCAATTTCAATTCATTTACGTCACAGGTGGTTTCTCACCTGTCTATTGAATAGTAGGTTCAACCGCGCTGTGAGAAGCTATGCAAGTTTGCCAGACTTGTAACCCCAGTTCAACACATCAGTGTACATAAAACAAATGAGTTCAGCTTCTTTTCTGCCTGATAACAAAGTTCATTTTCAGTGAAACAAGACAAAACGTGTATTTTTCTCCCACGACATCAGAGAGACTCCATTCAAAATCTGTGAGGCTGCTGAAACTCACATTAAAATCACTTTTAATGCAACTGCAGTCTCCTCGAGTACCACAGTGGTTTCTTCAGTGAGGACAGTAAGAAAGCGAAAGTCCTGCGATGAAGATTTCAGCAGGTAAAGCCAGAGACTGCATCCTGATGAAGCTGAGCTTGGTTTCTTATGTATGCCTTAAAAACAGCCCACAATTTATTTGCATTTTCCAACCAAATGTCTAAACAGGTTTACTGAAAGCTTTCCTGATGACTGGTGACCACAATACAGCAATACTGGATGATCCGTGACATTAAGTATCACAGATGCATGATCATGTCACTGCATAAAGGAAAAGTAGTCTTTTTTTTTGAGGACACCAAAAACATCCATTGCTACCAAACACAAGTTTGCACAGATTTTTTTTTACTGGTTCCATCAATTTTTACTCACAGTATATGCCTAATAAGAGATTTTACACTGCTTTATTTTGGCCTTTTTAAACATCCACAGTCCTGATTGCTGGCAGAAGGCTTTTAATCAGTGTTAGCAAACAGCTCCTTACTTGTTAGATTGTTGAACATCTAAAAGAGACAAACACAACATCACCTCACTCTGGTTTCAGAGTAATAAACACTGAAATGTCTAACCAGTGATTGGTGGAAAAATGGCTCCCCCAAATGGCACAAACATGTAACTTCCAGACACAATCGCTGAGCCTTAAAATCCATTTAAGAATGTATGCGGTAAACATAATATTCTTGTCGATTAAATTATACTGATGAAAAACACAAACTTTTCCTACTGCTGTTGCAGCCATAGTATCAAAACCATATTCAGTTTAATATCAACATGACAGGACCAGCCATTCTATTACGATGAAATAAGCGGCAACAGCTCTTTGATATGAAGACAAGTATAATGACAAATTAATAACAGTCATATTCCAATGAACTGACTTGTGTGAAATATGGTCAGCATGCAATACTGTGGTGAATTCTGGTTTCTTTTTCTCAAGAAACAGACAAATTACAGTTACAGTCTTATGCAAAAGTTTAGGCACCCCTTGATAAATAACAGATTTTGGTGATTTTTTATTTGAACAGATGTTAACACAGTTTCTCTTGGAAATGGAAAAAATGCACAATATTTTCAGCAAACAGTGATGCATAGTTACTTCTTATGCCATAAATTGAACAAAAATAAAAAATAAAAACATTATTATGGCATGGTGCAAAAGTTTGGGCACCCTACACAATCAGTACTTAGTAACACCTCCTCTGGCAGATATCACAGCTTGCAAACGCTTTTCATAGCCAGCTAAAAGTCTTTCAATTCTTGTACTTGGGATCTTCTCCCATTCTTCCTTGCAAAAGGCTTCTAGTTCTGTAATATTCTTTGGTCGTCTTGCATGCACAGCTCTTTTAAGATCTACCCACAAATTTTCAATGATGTTTAAATCAGGGGACTGTGATGGCCATTCCAAAACCTTCAGCCTGCGTCTCTTGAGGTATTCCATAGTGGATTTCGAGGTATGTTTAGGATCATTGTCCTGTTGTAGAAGCCATCCTCTTTTCAGCTTCAGCTTTTTTACAGATGGTGTGATGTTTGCTTCCAGAATTTGCTGGTATTTAGTGGAATCCATTCTTCCCTCCACCCGTGCAATGTTTCCTGTGCCACTGGCTGCAACACAACCCCAGAGCATGATAGATCCACCCCCATGCTTAATAGTTGGCCAGGTGTTCTTTTCATGAAATGCTGCTCCTTTTTTTCTCCAAACATGCCTTTGCTGATTGTGTCCAAAGAGTTCTATTTTAACTTCATCAGTCCACAGCACTTGTTTCCAAAACGCATCGGGCTTCTGTAGATGTCCTGTTGCATACTTCAGACGTTGGATTTTATGATGGGGACGCAGATAAGGTTTTCTTCTGCTGACTCTTCCATGAAGGCCTTGTCTGTGCAAGCATCGCTGCACAGTGGAACGGTGCACCACCACTCCTGAGTCTGCTAAATCTTCCTGCAGGTTTTTTGCAGTCAAATGGGGGTTTTGATTTGTCTTTCTGACCAGCATACGAGCAGTTCTGTCCGAGAGTTTTCTTGGTCTTCCAGATCTCATCTTGACCTCCACAGTTCCCCTGATCTGCCATCTCTTAATTACATTTCTTACTGTGGAAACTGCAAGCTGACAACGCTTTGCTATCTTCTTGTAGCCTTCTCCTGCATTGTGGGCATCAATAACTTTCATTTTCAGGGTCTTACACAGCTGCTTAGAGGAACCCATGGTTGCTGGGTGTCCACAAGTGTGTGCACAAGGTTTGAAGAGTCAAGGTATTTGTACAGCTTTGAAATTGGCATTTACCAATGACAGCTGTTGCTGTGCATCAGATCTACCGAGCTGATTAAGGTCTGAAACCTTGTGAGAGACTTTGAGACTCTGGAACTCTTAGGGTGCCCAAACTTTTGCACCATGCCATAATAATGTTTTTATTTTTTATTTTTGTTCAATTTATGGCATAAGAAGTAACTATGCATCACTGTTTGCAGAAAATATTGTGCATTTTTTCCATTTCCAAGAGAAACTGTGTTAACATCTGTTCAAATAAAAAATCACCAAAATCTGTTATTTATCAAGGGGTGCCTAAACTTTTGCATAAGACTGTACAATCTGTGCTTGCACTGTTACTATCAAGCATTCCAATAGATCAGTACATCAACAGGACATTTTCATTATTAACTGTGCATTATAGTAGGTACAAATGCCTTTTTCACAGGAGACATTTTGATTTGTCATAGTAAAAAAAAGCACAGATGTTAATACAAATATCAACAAAGGTTCTGCTATATTCAGGTCATGACAGTGAACCTATACTATGGCATTTAAAACCCGTAAAAATGTTTAATAAATGGTGAGTCTGGAACTCGTCTATATTTCTTGTTGTCAACAAATTCACCAGAAAGGCAAAATCCAACGTGTTACTTTCTGACCTCTCTACGCAGACAGGAATAAACATGGCAGAGAGGAATGAGCCATACAAGGCTTTACACAATCACAGACAATACTTGTTAATATAGGATCAATTTGATGTTAGTTTTTGTCTTTTCATGGAATTTGTTAAAAAGAAAATTGGAGAATGTTACCAGTTTGATCCTATTGATATTCTCAGAACAGCCACAAGGGAGCAGAACCTGCTAATGGATCTGTCCTTTATTTCAGACACAGAGCTACTGTATCAGACACAGGATATACAAACGTGTTCTGGTGGAATGTGAACAATCTGCAGGTTTAGTTTCATATTGACAAAGTTAACGCCATTTAGGCAGAGCTCTGGGTAATGTGCAAGTGGGAAAAGGAAATTCAAGGCCAGAACAAAAGTAAATGTGATTTGCAGTTCTGAAAAAGAAAGAAATTTTGTTTCTGCAGTGGAGGACGTTAGTTAGTCATCCCAAAGTCCATCTTACTCCAGATATTGACCATATTTGCTATGTTAATTCATAATCTACTCAAAAGAGCTTACTTCCATCCAAAGGTCACTACAGCTCTGAAGAGATACTTCAAATTTAATATTAATCAGCAAAGATAACAGCGATATAACCAGTAAGCTTTTCCCAAGGTGCGTTTTAAAGCTCAAGTTTCATAGACTGTGACTTTAAGCTTTAAGTAGCCGAAATGCCTTTAGGCTAAAAGTGTGTAACCTGTTTACTCTGCTAGCTTTGGCTTTGATCAACACTGAAAACAGTAATGATAACGACACATTGGACAAAACAATAACACTCTATTAGGCTAAGTAAATATCACATTAGTGATAAGACAGAGTTAGAAATAGCCTACTGTTATGACACTCGGCCTTTTGTTTTAATTAGGTGTAAGCACCTGCTTTTGTTGCCATTTCCCCAAAAGTGAAGCAACGTCAACAGGTAGGACACCTTTAGGCTAAATGCTAAAGTGTGTATGAACCTTTTGTGTCTGGTCACCGAGCCAGCAGCCTTCGACAGTGCGTGTTTTTGTTTCCGTTCAGCGTGCTTATCACCAAACTCCGGCTCCTGTCGAAACCACAGGTAGGACACCGCTCAGTTTCGGGTTGTAAGTCGCTCGCGTTGCTTTGTGGGTATTGTAGTGACCGACGCCGATAGACAACTCCTCCGCTGGGGCTCATGTATCATTTAAAACTTCCAGTCCCAAAATGCTCCGTGCCTGAGAGCCAACAGCGTAAAGTCCTGTAAAGCCTCACAGCAACGCCCTAGAAGTGTAGATGACAGCGGATTGGCTTCTTTTGCTGCCAACGCGCCGAAGCAAATCCTCAAAGAGCTCATGCTGATGGTGAGATCCGACCTAATTTTCTTTGTCTCATATCTGATTGTTTTAATAATGGTAAGTAACCTGTAATAGGATATGTTTTATTAACACTTACTACGTTTTGCATACACCTGTTCAGGCGTCTACACAGTTTGTGTCACCCTGACTCTTTTGTTTCTGTGTTTAGTGAAGCTGGAGATCTGTGAAACGTGTGCTGCGGAGTGTTTCCTCTTCTGTTTGGATTATTGATGGCTGTAAGACTAGTTTAAAGGTGTTTACAAATGATTACATCCAAGTAAGACAGGAGCATGCTGATCAAGATAGTTTAATGTTCAACAGGAATGTTGTACTACGAGGAACAGAACTTGTGCGAACAAAGTAAACCTGTAATATGGTATTTCACCAGAATAGGCATTTTTACTGAGAGTGTTGACACTGGGACTGCACTTTGACCATAGCAGTCTGCTGAGAGAACCCATTACACTGTCATAGGCTTGACAAGACCAACCTGTTTTTGTGCACTGGTCTAAGGGACCACATTATTAATGACTGACTCACTGTGACAAGTCATGAATGGGTTGTGTCCTTTTACGCAAACAAGTGACAGACTGAAGAGTTCAGGCTTTTATTCTATTTGGAACAGTTTCTCCCTAACAGACAGAGGCCCTGTTAAAAGCCTCGGACTCACTGTGTGGGGGAAAACATAGCTAAGACAGAACAATAACTTTACTCACGTCTTTTTTTTTGCCTATGGATTTGTTATTGTCATAGGTCACGCCATTTCAAATTATATGTCTGCTAAATCTGCCTGATACTTTCTCTTTTTGCTTTTGTCTGACCAACAATCCAGAAGTCAAATATTCCATTTACAGTGATAGTAGACTTAGAAAACCAGCCACTATTCATATCCGAGAAGCTGGAGCCTGTCAATTTTTTGGATTTTGTTTTTTTAAATAATGACAAAAATGATCAAAACTGTTGCCAGTTAATTTTCTGTTGATCAAGTAATAGATTTATTGACTAATTGTCTCAGCTTTTGTGCTTTTTCAGGATCGCTGGTTGCATCGATTAAGGAATAATGTAATGTAAGTAATGTTTTTTGGCTAGTAAAAGCTTGTAATAAAAGAAATAAAATCTGATAAATTAAAACATTGTTATGTTTGCAGATGAAAATATGACAGCTGCGAGTGCAAGATCCTTCAATCGTGTCGGGAGTCTCATGAGGAGCAAATCTGAGGGGACGCTGGTTGATCTGGATGTCAGTGGCTCAACGAGCAACAACCTGAATGGTGACATCCCCATTTAGAAGCATGAGCAGATGATAAACGTGTTGTTAACGTTAACAGACTTTCTAACCAAACGTTTTCACAGGTGGTTATGCAAAACAAATCTCACAGAACTCCAAGTGGGCACTTTTACAGCCAGATGTCGCACATCAATCTCAGGCAAAAAACCCCTTTTGGAACAAACTGTCAGGATCAAACCCTTTCTTAGATGACATTATACATAGCAGCACAGACAAATATATCTCCAATACATCAAATCTAAAACAAGACAATGAAAAGCATCAGGACACAAATGATGATGACATCAGCTCATCTTCAGATGAAGGAAAGGTGGGGAACTTTTTGGAAAACAAACACAAAGCCACCAACAGATCTGGGCGATGGATGAGCACTTCAGACATTCTGGATGGTGTGGAGAGGAAGGTGCCAAAACGAGACAACAGTTTCAGGCCTCCCGGGTCAGTGCTGAATCCAGATTTTGAGTGGCTGAAGAATGACAGAGAGGCCTATAAGATGGCCTGGCTGAGCCACAGGCAGCTAACCCGCTCATGCCTGGACCTAAATCTGATGAGCCAGAGTCCAGGCTGGGCTCAGACCCAGGCCACTGACTTTCAGGTGATTTGCAGGATTGGTCACAGTGGAGGCACGGTACAGCTACCAGAGTTGGACGTTAGCATCCATATCCCAGAAGATCATGTTCCTCCTGGAGATGTCCAGGAAGTTACATTGAAAGCAATGCTAGACCCTCCTCCTGGACTCAATAACAACTACGTGACAACCATGAGTCCACTTCTGGAGGTGATGCTCAGCAACATCAACACAAAGGAGCGTATCTCACTGGAGATGAAACTGTCCGGAGAGGTGAAGTCTGACCCTCTAAGTCAGGTGATGACTACAGTGGTCGGGCTGGTGTCCAACAAAAGAGAGGGACCTTATCTCAAAGTGGAAGACTGTTACATTCACAAGAACAGGATGCAGATGAAGCTCCAGGACCTGAAGACACATTTTTACGTGATTGCTGTCGCGGAGGCCTCTGCAATCCAGTCCCCTGCTACATCAGTGTGGGATTACCTTCACCGCCAAATCACTGTAGCAGTTTATGGTCCCAGGTACATCCATCCATCATTCAAGGTTGTAATAGTGGTCTGCTGTCACGAGAACGTCCCACCAAAGCTTCCATTTTCAGATATCTGCAGAGGCAACAAAAGCCTGCCTCCACTAATGTTGCAGCTTTTGGGAAAACACTGGTTTAAGCCAGACAAAGTGAATGACCTGCATATCAGAGTTAGCATCACAGGCTCCATGTTTAAACTCAAACCTGAGGACAACCTGAAAGAAGTGAGGCAAAGTCAGCTCAAAATAGGAACAGTTTTGCATCTACCAGTTGCATTATCTTGTCCTGGTAATACAGAAATGACTCCTTTTAAACTAGATCTACAAGTGACAGAGTCAAACACTGCAACTGTTACACATTTCCAGGTGCCCTCCCCTCCAGCAGCACCCGTTAGGTCAGAAAAACGCGTGCCAAGACAGACTGAAATTGCAAGAACCTCACCTATTCCTGAGGAAAGCATTCCAGATTTCCCCAAATTTGAAAACAAACCTTTGAACCTGCAGTGGTACGGTGTAGCCCTAAAATCAGTTTGCCGTCAGCCGCATGTAGACTACCTACTGGAATACTTTAAGGGGGACACAGTGGCTATCCTTTCCAGAAAGACTGTTCAGTCAGTTGGCAATTCAAAGGTAAAGGAGTGGTATATCGGATTCCTCCAAGGCAGGACTGGTTTGGTTCACTGCAAAAACATCAAACTGGTCACCAGAGACCAGGTGATAGACTTCACTGGAATTGAAGTCACCACAGAGGTCCTCCTGGACAACATGACGCTGCCCTTCAAAAAGCTCACTTATATGTACTCTGCCATCCAGACACTGGTCACTGAGCATATAACCAGCTGGAGAAATTTTGCTGATGCACTGGGGTACAGCACCTTGTCGTTGGACAAAATCACATGGAGGCACACTGAGACTGAGGCGGATAAGGTGGCCTGTGTTCTGGAAAAGCTGAAGGAGGACTGTCACAGTGAGAACAGAAAAAAGTTTCTGCATGAGCTCATGGCGGTAAGTAGACAAAAACAATACATGCTCTTTGTTGAAGATGTTTTTTAACAATTTAACATGTCTTAGGTTCAATGAAATACTAAAACTGGCTGTGCAGACACCCATTTATCATACATTTCAAAACCCTTCTACACTGCCTTAGTGTTCATGTGCTTTCCATGGTTTTATGGCAGCTGATTTCTGTTTTCCATCCTAGGGTCTCATGAAGATGGGCTCTGTGTATGTCGTTGCCCGGCTCATTCAGAACACTGTCACCCTGTCCGCTGCTGTGGAGCTCGGAGCTCGATGGCGAGAGCTCGCTGAGAAGATGGGAAAACTCTCCAGTGCTCAGATAGCTGGCTATGAGGCGCCACACCGAGGGAAGAGTGGAGAAGTTAGTCCCCAGGTGAGTTTAACAGTAGACACTGACACAGCAAAAAATGCAGACTGTATACGCTTAGGTACAACTGAATCTCTACATTTTATTTGACACATCAGTTAAATATTTCCTGTTCTGTTTCAGTCAATGTGGAAGCCTGCCTATGACTTCCTGTACTCCTGGAGTCTGCGCTATGGAGACAGCTACAGGGACATGATCCAGGATCTGCACCTGGTCCTGGACAAAATGAAAAACCCTCCCACCAAACAGTGGAGGCAACTGACTGGTGCCCTCATCACAGCAAGCTGCCTCAATATCTTTCGAGCCTCTGCTTACCCGAAAAGCTAAACCTTCTGTGAACATACTCTAGTGATGACAGCAACCTCCACACACTCGGGGAAAACGTAGAGAGAGAGGGTTTTGTTACACTGCAGGGTGGTGTTACTTTACTTATTCTGTTGTCCTGTAGCTTTGTCCTTTTTTATTTTTATTTGTTTACAAAGCAATAGAAACAACTTTACTGAAATCCTTTCAGATACTTGCACTACATGTTTAGATATCACTTGATGAATGCACAGTATGTTCACACACTGAGCTGTGAAGGATGTCACTTAATCTCGCAAACAGAAGAAATGAAGTCTAATTTGTTTTTATGTCTGTGCAAATGTGATAAAGCCTCAACATAAAATTTCATTTTTCAGTTTATTAAACATGCTATCCTACCTAAACCTAAATCTACAGTAGTTAGCAGCTAGCATCCTTCTTTACATTTAAAAAATAGATACTTGGATACATTTCTGTTATTTTAATCATACAATGTACCCAATGAATTAACTGTTTCTACCAGTCCACATTAGACAAACTGAGCACATTGTATCTGTCGTTCTGATTATTTATGCATCAAATTAGGTTTTTTAATGCTATGCTACTATAACTTTTGCGGTGCCTATGAGCTTTTTCAGAGTCTTCCATAAGAGTTTAATCATTTAATCTGTCCCAAATTATATTCAGTTCCTACAATAGGATCCATATCACCATTTTAGATCATAACCTCTAGAGTCCTGAGCTTTGGAAACCCAAGCTGTGCGGTCCTCATATGAGGACGCAGGGACTCTAGAGGTTAATGTGTTTGTGTGAGTTGCAAGTTGTACTGTACTTTTCTGATTCATACTGTGAGCCAGTGAAGGGAGTCAGAAAACCTTTAAATGTGAACAGTGTTGCTGATTAGAGTTTCAGTACATCTACATATATTCACTGTAGATTTGTGTGCTGAAAGTCAGAATGTTCTACCAAAGTGAAAAGACGCTACTAAATGTGTCATAAACTATTGTCTTTAATTTGACTGTGTTTGCTATTTTTATTCAGTAATGTAATGTTTTAGACATGTGCAAAGTAGGTAATTTCACAAAGTGTACAATATACAGTAACCATTGAATAGTCATTGTTACCTCATGTTTTATTGCCAAATGGAAGCCTCACTGTTTCAAGTGGTATCGTGTGTGGTACACAGAGCCTTCGGTCACTGAAACTGTAGACTACATTGATGTCTTTAATATTGATATGGAGATGTGTTGCATGAGATATGAATATATATTATCTGCAGTTAAGTACCTGTTCTGTTAGCCTCTTAATAAAGATAAAACGACACAGAGCTAATTCAACTGTGTGGAGTCTCTTAACCAAAAGTAATACAATTTTCTTTTAAATCATATTTTAGTACTTAACAACTTATGGGATGTGTAATTGTTCTAGTTTAGCAGTGTTAACTCACACCATTAGAAACAAATGATTATTCTCTGATGTGATTTCCATTGATTTTCTGGGACTGTTTGCTTTTCCCTGTTTGTTTAAGCTAGTTTCAGCTAAGGGCATTGTGGGTCTCTATCAAACAGAGCACAGAATGCTGAACTGACTTTACTTTGGCTCACTGAAAGTACTTCAGGACAAGTAAATCAAATATTGAAAGTAGTATCAGACAACAGAGTAAACTACATGGTGGCTGTACACCATTGTACTTAAGAGGTTTTTTTTGTAAAGGCTGGTGATAAACAGTACTGGACAGTCAGGCATGAAGGAATGTAGAGAAAAGAAAGAGGCCAAAACTGATGACATGAAGGACTGGGTATGCTGTTTAGAGAGACGCCTAAGAAAAACTACTACACTAAAACCAAACTAAATTAAGTATAAACATCTATTATACAGTCACATCCCACTTTACCAGCCTGTTTTGTACATACACACATACATTAAGCATAAGCTTATTTTACAAATATAATATTCCAAATTTTTATATTTACTATTATTCTTATGTAGTGCATCCTAGTTTCTTTTCTTTTTTTTTTACAGTAGTATATTTTTAACTAGTTGGTACCACATTACCAAGATAAATTCCTTGAATGTGAAAACCTGCTTGGCATTAAACCTGTTTCTGATTCTTTCTCTGTTGTGTTTTCCCAGTGAGCCAGAAGTAAAGTCAGGGAAATGCAATTTAGCTTAGTACTTTGAAACTACTGGCAACAGTTTTCAAGATAAGTGGGCAGTGGCATGTGTGCTGCTGCTTTGATACAAGGTATAAAGAGCATTTAAACATCCATCCATTATCTATACCGTTTATTCCTGACACTTAGAGACAGACAACCAACCTAAGCTTGGGCTGTGGGAGGACGCTGGAGTACCTGGAGAAAACCCACAAAGGCACAGGGAGAACATGCAAACTCCACACAGAAAGGCCCCGGGGATGGCCCAGGCTCAAACCCAGAACCTTTTTGTTGCGACGCAACAGCGCAAACCACCACTCCACTGTGGCACCTGCATTTAAATGTACCACAACAAAAATCCAACAGTAACTTGCTCAGACTAAAACTTTCACTTTCGGAACAAATTACTATACCAAGGCTTTAAGAATATAAAATCAGACTTTGACATACCGTATGTACAACACTGGTCTCACTGCATCCTCTAATGAAGGACAGAGAAGACAAAGGTTTGTTGTTTTAATGAGTCAGGGTCAGTTCAGAGAAAGGAGTCTCTGTCAGATTATCCTCTTCCTAGGTAACCACTTAACAGTGAGGTATAGAGCCAAACATTATTAAATACCAATATAGCTTCAAACATCTTAAACATCCATGATATATAAACTTGAGTAATGAGTTCACATTATGAAATAAGAAACCCAGATGATAAGTGGTGCAAAAAATGATCAGAAGAGTTTTTCTACTGTAGATTTCAAATTGTGGAACAGTTATCAAAAAAGACATAGTTATAATTAACTGTACATATTTTATTATATATTGTGAAGGATATAGCTTTTGCTGTCACATCAGGATACAGGCTGTTTTACTGGGACTTGAGGAGAACAAATGAAAATATCAGAGGCATCCGATGTACAGTAAAAATGAACTCTGCCTTTTTAGTCCCTGTTCTTCAGATGCAGTGAGGCGTCCAACTTTGTGACTAATGAAATGGGACCACTTTTTGTTTTTGGAGCCTTTTTTGGCAGCAGAATGTCAGGGTGCAGATAACAGTTAATCATTATGACTACTGCTCCTTGTCAGAGGCTTTCTATTTTTGTACCTCAGAAAATATTCCGCCTCCTGTCCTCCATGTTGTTTATAGACATTATAAGCTTTAAAGTGAATTGCTATGCAGTGTGGTGACATCTTTCACACTGATTTTGGTGCGAAAGCTTGAATAAAACATTCAGGATAAACAACACTGTTAAAGATAGATTTGACTTTTACAGCCCTGTGTCCAGCTGTAATGGTGCTGAATAGTATCAGATGCTGCTTAGCATAAACCTTGATACAGACCTGGGTCACCTGTCAACCAGCCAGTGCTGAGTAGCAGGAGGATGTATTGTACTCGACCATAAAATAAATTAAACTAAAAATAAATAAAACTGGTCTTGCACATCTAGAAAATATTTATAGGAAATGTAAAGAAATCTATTGCATCCAACAAGCCTTATGTATTGGCAAAATGAGTGCCATTACTCTGCTGAAGGTTTAAACATTTCTAACTCTCATTCTGAAATTTTAGTGGATCGCTGGGTTCATCAGCGAGTGCACAGTCTTACCTGTTATTAAATGGTGTTGCTTATTGTAGGGCTCTAAAAATTTATGAGCTTCCATATGAATGCTCTCCCGTTCTTTGGCACATTTAATTGAAATCTTTTTTTTTGTACAATGAATGTGAGTATGATGAATAAGAATGAAATAATTAAAAAAAAAAAAACTTGCGTAATTTTTCCACATGAAGAAAAAATCTGGATGTAAGTAGAGCTGATAAAAATTGTAAGCATGAACCGTTCACATTTTCAGATCTCATCTTGCAGTGTCTACTGTAGTGTTTATAAAGTCTAGCTTGACAAAGATACCTCGGCAGTTGAACTTTTTCACAGCAGACAAAGCACATGTGTAGCTCACAGCATTACTGATGGGTGCGTCCCATTAAGTGTCCCAGTAAACAATGCCACTCAGCAAGCACGCACAATACTACGATGCTGGAACTGGCTGACGTAAATGGAATGCAGCCATCCTGAGTGTTATCAGTTACACCTGTGCTTTTCTTGCTATGACATGTCAAAATGTCTGCTGTGAAAAGTAATTATGTCACCCCCTCCTTTTGGAGTGCAAAAATGGCCATCCAAATTTCAGTAAAAAGCAAGATGTTACATTGCTATACATTTTATTTGAAGGCCTGACTACAGCATCTGTCCCCTAAACTCTGGACACACTGTTCTCAGTGGAACTATATGATCAAAACAGACAATATCACAGTCATCGTGAAGTGTGTGTTTATACAGTATCCATAGCAATTCTAGACTGTTGCTGTGTTGTCAACATGAGTCACTGCTGTTCCTCACACATCAATGAATTAACATGTTAAATAGTCCTTGCTCCTGACGCTGCTGCCAAACCTGCAATAACAGGAAGTCCTGCATCTAAGTCAGTGCATATTTAACTGCATTAAGGGAAATGCATATTGACATGTCTCCTGTTTTCTTTGCTTTCTTTTCAAAACAAAATGTGACACTGAAAATGTTCTCAGACTTGTACATGTTTAACTACATCCCCAGACTAATGCATCAAACGAGACACAAGATGTCGAGATGTGTTCCGCTCGATACAGTACAGAGAAGGGCCTATTTACATAGCCCACTTCATGTACGTTTCCTGGTTTCTTGGCTTCCTCATTCAAGGTGAATACCTGCTGCAGATTGAATTTCAAGAAGATTCTCACACAGATCCAATTGTTCATTAGGTCAAGAGTTGAGGCGAGACCTCACAAACAACGTTCATCTCAGTTGCTCACTCACCTGCGGAGATCCAGGTCGGATTATGGCGAGGTTGGCATGGTTTTATTTTGATTAAGAAAAAAATGTACTTAAATTGTTGCTTCATCTGGCTCTTATCCCAGCTAACAGCCAAAACCTGTTCATTAGGGTTTTTCTTAAACACTCCTTCACTGGCTTATGTTTCCCAGTGACACAACTGAAATGAACTGGCTGAGTGATTTTCATCTGTGGCTAAAAACAGCTGCTGTGAAAATTTTATTTTATAATTTTTAATGTCAAATCCTGACCAGGGCCTTTCTGTGTGGAGTTTGCATGTTATCCCTGTACCTGCATTATTAAATAGTCCATATTCTACAGAACCTTATATGTAATATAGAACTGGGTTTAAACTATCTTTTAAACATTTCAGTCCAGTGGGTGGCGCCATTGGAAAGCTATTGGGTTGGTTTCAGTGCTCGTCCACCCTTCTCTCTGATGTATTACCAGACAACACATTTTCAATAAATTAATGATAACGTTATATTTCCTCATCATATCTTCTGTCTGATAATGAATCAATCTCATCATAATCTTGAAATAATCTGTAATAGGAACAAAAGTGTTAATTTTGTTGAAATTCTCACCAATGTAAACATGTTATGGATAAATATTAAAAGATAATCAACACTAATCACAACTTACCAATTGCATCTTGTTCTCAAATGTCCAGAATTGTATATTTGTCTCTTGTCAAAGGT